GTGAAATTTTCACTTAAAAGAATTGTTCTGCTTGGAAGAATAGTCTAAGTAATACTGCCCAGGAAAGGATAGGTGACACCGATCAAATGAACGAGGACACTTAGATCTATAACTTATCTCTGTGGCTATAGGCTATCGACTGTTAGCACGTTTTCAAGGGCAATGAGACGCTCTCGGGGATGGCCTGAGGGCAAAGTGGAGGGGAATTGACTTATGCTGGTTGTAAAAATCCCTTAGTAAATCCCAATAAGTCCATGAAGACCTTTACCCAGTACAAAGGTCTGGTCGCATATTATGCACCTCAAACACTGCTGAGGAGGAAGCAGCGCGGACGGACTGTTCAAAGCAGGGTCAGATCTTTTACCCTCAAAACAGAGGAGACAGTAGGGATAGAGAAAATATAGGCAGCTGCTCACTCTGTAGAGTCTTGGCGCTGCTTCTCTAACCTACAGATGACAGAGGGGGGTGTGTAGGGGGGGTGACGTCCCCTCCACACCACTTTAGTCCTGTCCCCTGGCTGCCCTTGGGCCCCTGGGGCTCTCATCTCAGAGTCCTTCCCAGCATCCCTCCTCAACGTCTGCAAAAGATAAAGTCATGAGGCCAGTTATCTCTATTGGGCTCCTACCTAGCAAGAAAATACTTTAATCAATAATACAGATGGTCCTGCGGAGGCTTGTATAGTTAACCCACCAGCCTTATAGCTGTACAGCACAGCACAGAGTTACAGCACATTGCCATCTCTATAGTGCCACTGAATAAGAAGACTGGATGCACCATTCAATTTAAATTTAGTTTTAAGCATTTATTAAATACAAACCAAGGTAAAAAAAAGAATAATCAGCACAGATCACAAAATAAATCAGGATCTTTTTCCAAAGGCACAGACCCAGAGCGCTTTTCTAAAAGGCAATGCAGCAGTTCGTAATTCCAGGAGCTTACAGCTTTTTATTTCTTCAGCGTCACAACTATGTATGTTCAGCTGAAAAAGCTTATGGCCTCCAAATATTCATCTAGTTTATGTGGTGGGTATATCGCTGTATCCAATCCAAACACAAAAGTCTGGGGATTTTGCTTTATTTATTTTTCCCTGTTTCCTTTTACTGTTTGTGTGGCTCTCAGAATGTTCCTGTGGACAAACAGGGCTGTTTCCCCCGAATTATCTCAAATGCACCAATGCTGCCAAAGTCTGAGGGTGCAGCAACCTTGAGAAAATAATATATATGGAAATGGGAAATCTATTAAGCATCTCTCTTATTGTTCTCCCTGCAGTGTTGTGTTTATGTTTAAAAATGATTTTGTCTCCTCAGGATGAAAAAATGTAAAGAATACGTTGCTTTATTGAAAATGATAATATATGAGTCTTAGATTTCGAAACAAGAAGTCTGAATATAAAAAAGCTGTAAAATCCTTTAGTCGAGGGGGTTTCAACTTTTGAATGTGCCTACAGTCAAGCATCCCAGTGATTGCTTACCTTCTGCCCCTTCTCCAGTTCTGCAATCTCCCCCTAATCTCCCCACAACCATCATCTTCAATTTGCTGAAACTGCCATCGTCCC